TAGCTGGAGGCGGCAGGTGCCACCAGCGAGCGCAGCAAGAAGGCGCAGCTGGACAGGCTGGACATCAACGTGCAGATCGACGACTCGTACCTGGTGGAGGCCGGAGACCGGCAGAAGCGCTGGCAGTGCCGCATGTGCGAGAAGTCCTACACGTCCAAGTACAACCTGGTGACCCACATCCTGGGCCACAACGGCATCAAGCCCCACTCCTGCCCACACTGCAACAAGCTCTTCAAGCAGCCCAGCCACCTGCAGACCCACCTGCTGACCCACCAGGGCATGCGGCCCCACAAGTGCGAGGTGTGCAGCAAAGCCTTCACCCAGACCAGCCACCTGAAGCGGCACATGCTGCTGCACAGCGACATCAAACCCTACAGCTGCCAGTTCTGCGGCCGGGGCTTCGCCTACCCCAGCGAGCTGAAGGCCCACGAGGTGAAGCACGAGAGTGGCCACTGCCACATCTGCGTGGAGGGCGGGCTGGACTTCTCCACCCTCGCCCAGCTGAAGCGGCACCTGGCCGCGCACCAGGGCCCCACGCTCTACCAGTGCCTGGAGTGCAGCAAGTCCTTTCACTACCGCAGCCAGCTGCAGAACCACATGCTGAAGCACCAGAACGTCCGGCCCTTTGTCTGCACCGAGTGCGGGATGGAGTTCAGCCAGATCCACCACCTCAAGCAGCACTCGCTCACGCACAAGGTAGGGGATGGGGCACCTGGGGGGGCTGCCCATGCCATGCCCTCACAGGAGATGTGCTGGCTCTGCATGCAGGTGTCGGAGTGGCCCAGTGCCCTGAGTCCTAGCCAGCCCTGGGGATGAAGGGTATGGTCAGAAGCCCACCTGGCTGGCATTTGTTAAGGGTCATTAATTAGCAGTGGAAGGGCTTCATTACAGACAGGGGTCCTGGGGCAGTGCAACCGCTGTTCTTGCTGGGGGTCTTCATCATCGGGGGGGCAGCTCAAACCTACTGCAGGTGCTGTAGCCAGGTGACCTGGCTGTGAGCAAGGGGCTTGTCTTTTCTAGAGGTTATTTCAATGGGGAGCATTGGCCAGAGCTGGGGAGCAGAACCAGGTCTCCCAGCTGGGCTTACAGTGCCCATACAGCCACGCTCCCTGTGCTGGGCTGGCTTGGGCAGGGGTCTCCATTGTCCCTCGAGCCAGGTTGACTGCTGTATGGCTGCAGCCCCTTCCCATGGGTGCTGCTTTGCTCAGGTGCTCTGACTGCAGCAGCACTGACCTGATCCTGGGATTTCCAAGTGCTGCAAGTGCATTCCCAGGGCAAGTGAGACCATATCTGGGGTGAGGCAGAATCTTGCCTGCAGCAGGACTGGGCAGGGGGAATTGCCCCCGGGGCAGCACAGGGGCAGCCCCAGGCCCTCAGCAGAGCCTCCTGGCAGCGCCATGCCCTGTCCCCCCCCGCCCGGGGCTCAGCTCTGCCCCTGCCCACGGCTCTCCAACCCCCGGCAGGGTGTGAAGGAGTTCAAGTGCGAGGTGTGCGGGCGGGAGTTCACGCTGCAGGCCAACATGAAGCGGCACATGCTGATCCACACCAGCGTGCGGCCCTACCAGTGCCACATCTGCTTCAAGACGTTCGTGCAGAAGCAGACGCTCAAGACACACATGATCGTGCACTCGCCGGTGAAGCCATTCAAATGCAAGGTACCCTCGGGGCCTGGGGGGGTGACAGAGCCGGGGGGTGAGCAGATCTGGGAGGGTGCAGTGGGCTGCCTGGCCAGGCTGGGTTGAGTGCTGAGTTGCACAAAAGCAGTTCTGTGATGCCTCCCTCTGTTGACGCGGGCAAACAGCTCGCCTGGATGCTCTGCTCTGCTCAGGCTGCGCTGGAGAAGGACAATCAGTTCCTCTCTGAGGAACCTGCTGTGCTGGAGATCCCAGCCATCCCAGCACAGCATCCCTGAGGCCTCCCACCCTAGGGGGGAGGAGGGGCGTGGCCCCATTGCTCTTAAAAGTTGGTGGGAGCTCTGGGGGCTACAGGAGCGAGGTCTGCTCTGGGAAGCCCGGGTGCCCCGACAGCCCTGGCTGACCCAGGAACGCTGCCGGCAGGTCTGCGGGAAGTCCTTCAACCGCATGTACAACCTGCTGGGCCACATGCACCTGCACGCTGGCAGCAAGCCCTTCAAGTGTCCCTACTGCTCCAGCAAGTTCAACCTGAAGGGCAACCTGAGCCGGCACATGAAGGTCAAGCACGGGGTGATGGACATCAGCCTGGACAGCCAAGGTAGGTGCAGGCTGTGCTGTTCTGTCACAGGCTGGGTTCTTCACTGCCACAGCCCCCCCTGGGCTCTCGGTGATGGCTTCGGGTTGCTGCTGGCCCTGGACCTTTGTGCCAGTCCATCATTGCATGTCCCTGTGCTGAATCCTAGATTCCATGATGGAGCTGGCTGGGGCTGACCATGCCGAGCTGGACGGGCAGCAGGAGATGGACGACTTTGAGGAGGAGAACTCTTATGGATACGGGGGGGTGGACAACCCCTCGGACGAGCATACTCTGACCCAGCAGGCCATGAAGGAGATGGCATACTACAACATGTTGTAGCTGAGGCTGGAGGAGGCTGCCAGGGCCCTGCCTGGTGAGGTGAGAGAAGCTGCTGCTGGCGAGCTGTGGCACCGCCCCGGGAAGCTCCAGCCCAGCACGGTGACAGAGAAAACAGGGAAGGCCAGGAAGCCCTGCTGGGGTGAAGACAGGACTGGGGCAGCAGTGGCTGGGGGGCCCCCGGGGCCGCAGGGAACCCGGGCTC